TTGCAGAGTGCGCACTATCCCACGGTTGATGCGGTGGTAGGAACTTCGGAATTCTAGCGACACGATGGAGCGCTTTTTGGTTTACTCCTAGCCAGGCAAGCATGCTATCAGAGAACAAAATTGCGGCCCTGTCCGATGGGATTTAGAGTTCACATGAGATCAACTAAAGATGCACGTGGGAGGTTACTGAATCCTCACAAAAATTGCATTCTCCTCTAAACATACACAAAACGTATGGTTTCCTATCCTGAGGTAGTTCTTTCTTTTACTGGTACTCCAATTACGCAGTGGGCTCTCATACGACGAATAGCTTCAGTTAGAATTGCAAAATAACACAATATGAATGACACTTCAGCTTGGAACCCAGGTGATCACTGATAACGTCGGAGACGTATCTTGGTTGGGGCATCACAGACTCTTGATTTTTTCAGTTCCCTAACGGTAAGTGGCTTGTACTTGCTGTTTTGTAGTTGGTGAAATAAAACCTGACACTTTGAAATCAATTTCACCCCTTGTTGTTTACCGGTTAACTAATGAAATAATAAGAATAGAAATCATGTACCTTTGATGTTTATGCCGTTTCTCAGGATAAAATTGATACGTTTGTTCCCACACTGTTCGCTGTATTTTCGTTTAGGAGACTTGGATTTGTCCAACCCATCTTTCGGGATCCTGGCAACGTCTGGCGGGTCTGATCTGGAGCCGATTCCGTCCGTCGATGTGGTGGTCAAAGAGCGAACAAATGATTCTAAGCTCATGGTCGGTATCCTTCCATGCATATCGTGCACCTCACTTGAGCCGTCTGGCTTTTGACTTCCGTGCCCCAGTGAATCGGGAAAATAAATGTTGGGTAGAGTGTTTGAGTCCAGCGGCAAAACTCCATTAGTTCGCCCTGATTGTTGTTGTTGTTGATGGTGTTGCTCAATTGAGCTTGGATCCACCTGTTGCTGTTGTTGTGACGTTGATGTATGGGTAGGGGTGGATTGTCCGTTTGGTCCGAAATTCACCGAATCTTTACCGGGAAATGCGTAGAATTGTCTGGTCAGATGATCCAGTGGTACAGAATGATTGGTTCCAGTGTAATCAAACTCTGGCGCATTGACTGGGGTACCGTTGACTGAGGTGGGTACAATAGCTGGACGAAAACAACCACCGGTGGCCATGGACAAACCTAGCAGTCCGGTGATACTGTAATCTGCAGCCAGAGCAGCGGTGGAAAAGTTTGTCAGCTCACTAAGTGCGGCCAGGTTATCAAATGAGAATTTGGAGCGAACATCCGTATCTGCAGTGAGGCTATTTTGAATGGAATTAGTGATATGCGTGCTTGTGGCCAGTGGCATATAGCTAGTGAATATTGGATCTCCAGAGTTGGCAACGCCTCTCTCGGTATTTGACAGGTGACCCAAAGTCTCTGTAAGGCGTTTCGAGTCTGCTCCTGCCGATGCACGTTCATAGGAGGTGGATAAAAGACCGGAGTTGGATTCACCACTAACTTCCGGGGTACAACCAAGTAAGGAAACCGGGCCTGGAGTTTTGCCAAATGGTGAATCCATGGTTATTCCGAATGAATTCGTAGAGGATGCGGAAATGGGGGTAACTTTGTTGCTATCTTCCGCCGCGTGCATTTCAGACCCATTGTTTAGGTAAGCCTTTGAGAACATGGCGTCGAAGTTTGAATGACCAGAATCCGTTGGACCGTCCGGTTTGAGAAATGAACACAAGGGAATCAGGCTGGATTGCATACTGACATTAGGTGGTTCGCAGGTTCGGTTGTTTTTCTCATGCGTTGCGGGTCGCATTTTGGATTTCGTGGTCTGATTTTCTGTAGCAGGAACCACGTGCAACGAGACATTTTGGGTATTGCAGTGAGTGCTCTCTATTCCAGNCTTTTTGGTTCTTCCTCCACCACCGCCCCGTTGCATGGAGACTTCACTTCGTCCACTCAGCGGGCTAGGTAACGAATCCGAACGGGAGCAATCCTGACCAAACGCTCCCTTGGCAGCTCCCGACCGATTTGGTGAAACGTCCAGATTAAGTGACATCTGATTATCCTGTTTTTAGGGAAAGAATAAAGACAAAATGCATAAACTTAGAAGTTGCGTTCTCAAGAGGCCACATTGATGTTCCGGCTAAAACTATGGTGAAGGTTAAACAGTACAACAAAGGAGGTTCAAAATCGCCACCATATCACGCAAGAAGACAAATACCTAGCTTGCGAGTGAAGCCCTGAAGAAATTTGTGCTCCGGCTGGATACCGACAATGTACATAACTTTAGATTAGTCCCACGCATGAGATTTGTACATACATAACCATTCTTCAGTAGATCTATACTGTTTACGTTAAATTCATATAGTTGTTGGAACCAACCATAAAGATTTTTTTTTGGATCATCACGTCTCACACAAGAAGATTAAGAAACTCAGCAGCTGTGTTGCATTTTTTTCCAGCAATCAAACTGACAGGCTCAGGAGACAACTGAACGCCAAGTGGCACTGCTTGAGTTTGAAAAGAAACTCACAATCAACACCGCTGATTATAAGTTTTTCTTCCAGTGCTTTTGGTGTCGAAAAGGGACAACAAATCAAATGATGAGTTCCGTACACTTTAGAATTCTCAGTGTATTCATAGATAGAGATAATTTATGAATTATGAGATGAGTCTTCTCATAGGCACCAAGGGATAGTTTGTTTGGGTGACATCAGTGTTTTCCCCTCTATGAGTTCCATAATTTCTCATTTGGTAATGTTTCTAGTTGAACATGTTGGCTGTCTGGTGGATGACTCAGGGCGAGGGTGACTGGTGTTGTGAGTTCCATCAGGGGCACAACAATTGCTGAATCGAAGCAAGGACGAAATAGGTTTTGATTGTTGTGTTTTAGATTACTTCATTCACACTCCACAGATACCAGACCTCGGTTTATCTGTATTGCATTTGAGGGTTTTAGCCCCTGGGGAGAGGACTCATGCTCCAAGCTCACAGATTAATTTTAAGTGCGATGAATTCATTGCGTGATGAACGATGAAACGCACCGGACAACTGTTTCTTTTTGATTGGGATTTGTCTGCAGTATGTGTTCTTTTTAGTTATTCGCGGTCGCACACAGAGTACGTGGCTGACTTCCATAGGTTACGCAATTTGGGGCTTGTGTTACGCATGCCACCAATTATACTGCCACGGTGCGCGTTGTTTATCGAGGCAGATAATAGGTTGACAAAAGTTAGGGTATTCAAACCAAGGCCGGTTGAGAAAGTATGAAAACTCAAACAGTATAGCGAACAAGCTTGTTTTCGTAACTTCGTCTTCAGGCCTT